CATCAAGTTGCTTGCCTTCTCAATGAGGCTGGGTGGGGAGGGAGGAAGGGAGAAAATTTGGAACCCAAAGTTTAAAAAAATTTTTTTTAAATTGTTTTCACATGCAACTGGGAAATAAGATATTCAGGTAATGGGGTATAGAAATCTATCCTGCCCTACAGGAAAATAGAAGAGGAAGGGGATAAGAGAAGGAGGGGATAGAAGGGAGGGCAGATTAGGGGAAGAAGTATGCAGAATGCATGCCATCTTGGGGTGGGGGGAGGGATGAGATGTGGAGAAAATTTGGAACTCAAAATCTTGTGGAAGTGAATGTTGAAAACTAAAAATAAATAAATTAATAAAATCTGAAAAAAAGAGGAAAAAAAAAAGAATTACAAGGATTTCAATGGTTCATATGACATATCCATCAATTATCCATCAAGTGTTTGCTCTTGCTCCAGGACCAGACCATCTCTCTTTTTTCCTTTCCTTGTGCAATTTTTCATTTTTAATATGTTTTAGTTCCCCACTCCCACAAGCCTCTCTATTGCTCTTTGGGTGATCTTAAATGAATTTCTTCATATTAGGTCCTATTCCATGACATGCAGCCATGCAACATCCCAAGAAGAATACTGATTTTATAAAATAAGGATATTGATGGGTATGTAGTGGGCACTTAATAAATGCTTCTTGAATTTAAAAAAAACTAGAAGGACCAAGCATATCAATTAATAAATTTTAGTATAATTTTATTTTAAAATCAACATTTTTATATTAGTTCCATATTTTTTGACCTTATGGATTAAAAACAAAAAATGATAGGGCCCTGGGCTAGTCACTTAAAGGCTATTGCCTTGCAAAAAAAAAAAGAATGCATCAATTGGCATACCTTGGTCCTTAGAGGTATTCTTAAATTCTGGTCCTTCTAGTAAGATTACAAAGGAAACTCATATTGAAATAGTTTTATATGTCTGCATCAGTATATCTACATATCACTATCTCTGTCTTTCTTTTTTATTTTTTTATTTTTTATTGTTATTTAGTGTCTTGCCTAGGGTCACACAGGTAGTAAGTGTTATGTGTCTGAGGCCAGATTTGAACTCATGTCCTCCTGAATCCAGGGCCA